AGATAGAGCAACTTTCCTTGCTTTACTCCCTGAGTCATATAAGAGCTCTGAAATGCTCTTTTTTCACGGTTGCAGAAGATTTCCTTGGAACTGCCTGCAGTCTGTAGTACAAAATTAGCTCAGACAAGTGAGACTGGTTTTACCTGTGCTTCTATAAACTGGGAAGGAATTTGTGAAAGGTGCTGTGCATATCAAAGGCATCCCCAGCCCAGCAATGCTCCAGATGCTTGAAATGTGCCTGTGAATGGAGTAGTGGTCAGAGAAAAAGGAACTTGTGCTCCTTCATATTCTCCAGAATTAATTTTTCAGTCCAGGTGGGGGACTGCTGGCTCAAACTGAACTTGCTGTCAAGCAGAACCCCCAGAGTTCTGCCACATCCATCGAAGATACTGTGTTTGTATCCTCTTCCCCAACTTTCACACACAGAAATTAAACCCTCCTCCCCAGGACAGAAGCCTGGTGGAGTTTGGAGTGTGTAGAAATGGGTTTAGGTTTTCTAACTCCAGGCTTAATTAAATTCCCTTCTCAACTGTCTTCATGCCAAAGTTGAAAGCAGAATTTGTGAGTGACTTCCTCAGGCCTTCATTCTCCTGTCCCTGTGGTTCACTCACCTGGTGGACAGTCTGTAAATCCAACTTCAATAAATCCTGGTTATTTACATCAACTCTTACAGATATTTTTGACAAGACTTTGAGAGGCTCATCTTATTTCCCACCTTTATTATCCATCTTGTACTAACCTGAGCTGGGGGGAGTGTGTGTGTCCCTATTTGTTGCATAATGTTTGTCTATATCTTTAGGTTTTTGGGAGGATTGGAAATTTTCCTATGAAATCACTTGACATTTCTCTGGCACTAAAAGACATTTTTCCTCTGTCTCCAGTCAATATTTCATGCCCTGAATTTGTGCTAAGGGTGTTCCCTTGTAACTGGCAATCAGGAATGTCATCATTGAAGTTAGTGATATAAAAAAGAGCTGCAGGGCTGGGAGGGGCCAGGACACTGTCACTGCTACAGGAGACCCAGCTCTCTGCAGATGGACTTTGAGGGCTGGCTGGTGTTATGGTAGCTGGAATTCCCATCAGATCTCTGCTTCTCTGTGGAATGAAGACCACATGGGAGCCAGAAGAGACGTCATTTCAACCCCTTGCTTGGTGATTTTGCATGACAAGAGTTGTTAAATTTGTGATATTCTGTCCCTTCTGATATACAAATGGGGAGTGAGGCAGGACCAATGTTGGGAGGGGGGTTATTTTTGGAGGGATCTCAGACAAGCAACTTCTGAGGCAAATATTTTGCTGCTGATATAGAACAGGCACTGACAGAAGCTGTCACCGTCCAGATAAAACCTTTATTTTCCTTTTTTTTTCCCCTTTTCCTTATCAGCAGCTGCATATAACATTTCCCCATTGATAGAATAAATCTGATAAAAAAATGTAGTTGTAAGCAGCAACGATTTTATCCTGGTGAAAAGATTTTATCCAACAAGAAAAATGTTGTGCCTGAGCATAATTTTTCAGATATGAAGAACAGCAGCATGGTATGACCCTCAGTCCTAAGGATTTAGTTTTAAAAGAACTACTGAGCAGATCAGATATACTCAACTTTTTCTCTGCTATAATTTTTTTTTCCCATTGGCAGAGTTCAGTTTATAGATACATCTCGACAAAAATCTGCCAGAGGCAAATTTCAACAAAAGAACAACTTCAAACACATCCAATTAACAATTTATGGAAGGAAATCCGACAGAAAATTACACAGAGATTCACAGGGCATAAAATTTGGCACTAAATCAAATTTATTGTGGAAATGCCTGTACAGGGAGTTATGGCCCCTTCCAGTGCAGTGTCAAAGGGAACTTTATCTGAGGAGGCTCAGTGAGTGCCCTCCATCTGATCTTTTCTTGCTATAAATAAAATGTTTTGTCAGACATGGCAATGAACATAACTCAGAGGGGAATGAAGAGCACTGATAAGCCCAGCTATATGCAGCTTTCAATCAGAAGCATTAGAAGTGATTAGATTTCTTCACAGTTTCAGATTCAAGATTTTTTCACTTTATCACAGAAATGAGGGTCTCAGTACCATGGACAGCTCAAAAAAAAAAAATCACTTTTATTTGTCAGCACAGCGTACAGACCCTGATAGCAGGTCATGGTGACTGTATTTAACATTATTATAGAGCCATTTTTATGTCTGGAAGGAAATATCAACCCCTCTGCATCCTGTTGTTTTACTGATTTACTCATTCAGCAGCTGTGGTTGGATTTTTTCAGAAGATGTTAAGGATGCAAACACATGTAATTACCTTCAGCAGCTCTGAAATTAACTTAGGTCACTACTTTGTTTAGAGAATAAGACTTTTACCTATTTAAACACATGGATAGCTAGTTTTGTTGGTTTTTTTTTCCTAAAAGATGACTGAGCAGCAGCCCTTGCAATGTGTTTTCTGAGTAATTTGCAGGGGGAAAGTGTTATTTACAGAAGCCAGGCCCAGAAGTGAAGATGACTAAAGTTGACACAGGCCAAGATAAAGCATATTTGTGGTACAGCTGTGCTATTCCATGGACTAACCTAATCTGAAGAGCTGCCTCTCTTGTTATCTCTCTGCACCCACATCAGACCAGGAAACATTTGAGCACTTGTGAATTTGTCGTGTTCCACTGAAATTCAATCCTGCATAGGACAAGCCTGGCTTTGAGTGTCCATTTGTGGGCATTGAGGTCCTTGGTGCAGCGTCCTTGCTGTGACCAGAGCACACAAATTTCATCAGAACACTTTTCCTGTGTCTCCATAAGGCAGATTCTTGGGATCTTCCAGCCCACTTGGCCATGTGCTCATCTGGTGAAGATGAGAGGACACCTCTGTCACTAAATGAAGCATTAGAATACCCTAAGGGTTTTTTTTCCAGAGTCCATTAATACACTCTTTTGGCACTGAAACACTCTGCCAGGGAAGTTAGTGTCCAAGGCACGTAATAATTAGTGAATAAAACACCCCCCAGAGTATCTTAATCCTATTAAAATATGTCTTATAAAGTGTAAATTAATCTTTAACCTAATTTTAAATGATTATTTTCTCCCTATAACACACCCTTTCTCAGTAGATCCCTGGAAAGCAGAAGGTGAAACAAAGTAAGACATTAATATCAAAGATTTTCACTTGCTATTCTTATTTTGAAAAATACTTGACTGTTTGCTGCTGGTTTTCCTATTTCCTTCTACTTCTTCCATCACTCCACTTCCTTTACCCTGTTGTGTTATTTTCCTTGTCTCCAACGATGTATGGTGATAATAATAATTAATTAATTTTATAAGACAAAGTCTAAGTGTAGGCAAATGCAAAAATTCTTTTGTTTGCATACTTTTTAAAGAGTTAAAGCAGAGTTAGAGAGTTAAATAAACGTTTCCAGGCTCATGCCTTCTCAGTCCTTTCAGTTCTCCAGTCCTGGTGCCCTTCCATCTAAATGCCCTGTGGCCTCACTTCTTGTTCACACTGTGGGAATTCAGGGGAATGAATACTTCTGAAGATGTAGCCACAGTAAGACAGCAAAGGCTTTTATTTTTCACGCAGTACTCACAGTGTCTGGGCTTCAGATAAATCCAGATTCAGAGAACTGAACTTCCCCCTGAGTACTTGTTTTCTTCTATAGCTTTCAGAGGCTTTGGGGATGTTTAGGTCAGGGATGTTCTGTGGCCACTGACATTTCTTCTTTCAACTCCAGGGCATCAGAAGCACTTGACTTACTTTTTTTATTGTAACTTTTGGTTAGCAGTCAAAGCTCAGCTCAAAACCAAGTTAGAGGACCATGAACATTGTTTGAAGTGGAATCCTCATGCAGTTGTAAGGTTGGAGCCTTCAACAGCACCTCTTAATTTAGAACTTCAGCTCAGCCTCCAAACCAGCCTTGAGTCAGTTCATTCTCCAAGTGCAGTCAGGACTGAACCTGGCACAAGCACAGAACCTAAAGGCTGGGTGGAGAAGAACTCGTTAAACTTCTGTCCCTACATTTTGTGTAGATCCAACTGGTTCTTGAACAAAGTTTTAGAATCTGGACCTGAATGTAAGTACAGCTCCCAAAATAGAAGAAAATGGCATCTTGGGGCTTATAAAATGAGTCAGGGGTTTTAAAAAAAGAGGGAGAGAAGCTTATTAAACAGAGAGGCCATAGGTGGATGATTTTAAACTGAAAGAAGAGATATTTAGATTAGATATTAGGAAGAATTTATTTCCTCAGAGGGTGGCAAGGCACTGGAGTGGGATGCCCAGAGAAGCTATGACTGCCCCATCCCTGGAAGTGTTCCAGGCCAGGGTGGATGTGATTTGGAGCAACCTGGGATAGTGGAAGGTGTCCCTGCCCGTGGCAGGGGGTGGAATGAGATGACCTTTGAGGTCCTTTCAGCCCCAGCCACTCTGTGATTCTATGACTGTGATCAGACATGTCAGAAAAGCCAGGTCAACTCCAACAGAGTGAGCACCACGAACCTGTGAGCTGCTCAAGCTGATCACTCTGCACTCATATTGCTGCAGTGATTTCCCCTTTTTTAAACTGTGCTGTTTGTCTCATAAATGGAGAAGGTTGGAACCTTTGTATTTTGAATGTTTCAAGTTGGATCATAAAGTCTTCAAGACAAATGAGTAGGATTTCTCTGTGCCTGAGAAGTGTCTAATTCAGGAAAAACTTGCAGGGAAATTAAGCAAAGTAAATGCATTATTTTTCAGCTGCACGTCAACATTTTTTTCTGTCAGAACTGTGGAAAATTGAAGTTGGTTAGTGGGGCCCAAAAGTAGCTCAGGAGATCTGGCTTCAGGTCCTAACATTTCCTTTGAGACTTGAAATGTTTCCTCTCATGCAATTGACTTTTCTCCTCTTCACCTTTTCACCGCTGTTTATGCCGTCTCTTACATCAATATTTTCTTTCCCCACACTAAAGCTGTGCAAAACTGGAAAACATTTAAAACATTTTCACTTCCTTTGCTTTCTTCCCGTTCTCCCATCCCAGCAGAGCCCTAAGACCCCGTTCTCTGACCTGCCTGACGACGAGAAAATCTTCAACGGAGGCGACGGCGTGTGGCAGAACCAGGGCCAGGAGCAAGCCTTGCTCTCGGAAATCACGGAGGAGGATCTGGAAGCCATCCGCCAGAGGGAAGAGGCCATTCAGCAGATTGAGGTCAGTCACCTCCTCCCACCACGGTTCTGTGAGCTGCAAGTGCAGAATCCTTGCGTTGTGCCTTGCTCAACGTGGAGGAAATGCTGATTCGCATCGCTGCCAGTGCGGCGTCGCTGAGAACGCGGGAGGTTATCGAGAATTTCTAAAGATGGGAACCTGTCATAATGGAAATGACAAATGTTAATTAATGCTCATGTGCTGATGGTTGGGTTCTTCCCAGTGAGTCCTCCACAGCAGAGTCTGTGGTGAGGTGCTTTAACTGAGCTGCCTCTGCAGCAAAATAACTTCAGCGCACGCAAACTTGAAACTGGAATTTGTCACAGGCAAAAAAACCTCAGCTTTACCATTAGTGAGAATAATAGGTAGATGAAAGGAAATAACTTGTTAACCTTTTCAAATTATTCAATATTTTCCTGTATCAAAGTATTTGGACGTTCTTGATGTAGTTAAAAGAGAACGTACTATTTTTATTCCCTTTTTTTTCCCCCAAAAAGCACTGTAAAAATATGCAACAAAAGGAACGAAAAAGAGGCCTGAATAAGTTAAACATCCCACTTTTTTCTTTTTATACTTCTCTTTTTATGCTTTTGGGAAACTCTTGTTAAATCTAAGCGATAAATGGGTAAAAAAAGAAAATGCTAAACCTACATAATTTGTATGCTTTTACAGGCCTAAACTCAAGATGAACCAAAAAAAAAAGGGCTTCAGAATAATCAGAACATTTAATTAAGGGCTATACTTTGTCCTTTAATTGGATTGGGCTAATTTTATCAGGATAGATTTTAAGCTTCAGTACAGCAGGAGCTGTGATTGAATTAACAGTGCAAAAAGGGGACAAAAGTTCCTGCTGAGGGCTGGTGCTCTGAGGTTGGGACCTCTGTTTGCAAACAGTGATGGCCACATATGACTCAACTCTCCAAGTCAGAAATTTTAACAGTTTTACAGGAGTGGGTCGAGGTCAGAGCTTGTCTAATTTCCGCTGTGGTTCACTGAGCAGAGATGAATGATCTTTGTGGACTTGTGTCCATTACTAGGGGTGAAACTGTCAAAGAATATTCTCACACTGTGTATCTTTGGCTGTGAATTGTCATTTTGCACTTTGAGGGATCTCAGTGCATCCAGCAGGACAAACTGTAGGGAATTCTGTTGCAAATAAATGCACGTTTTGGGCTGTTCCTGCACTTTGATGTTCAAGAAAGATGGTAGCAAATATATTTCTGAAATGATCTTGTGAACAACACCACCAGCTCACTGGAGATATTTAAGAACAGTCTGAGAAGAATCTTGTGTCATGCTGTCTGGGATGACCCTGCTGGAGCAGGACCAGATGATCACACTGTGGTGCCTCAGCCATTCTGTGGTTCTGTGATTCTTTTTGTTTGAAATATAGTCTGAGCCTTTTTTAGATTGTCTTTACATTGCCCCTTTGCTCCCCAGGAAAAAAAAAACACATTTAGTAGTTGCCCATTAGGAGTGGGGAGTGACAACCCCCAAGGCAGCCTCAAGCACACCAGCTTTGTAAAGTCAGGATGTGCAGATGTTGCAGATCTTTATTTATTTTGCTGGTTAAATCCCATTTCTATGCCACAATCTGATGTTTGCTCCAAGTTGCACAGGACCATGGTGGGGTAGTTGAGGGGGGGTGAAGTGAACTCAATCACAATCCTAAATAACTTTTTAAAAAAATCTACATTCATGTGTTGTGCAGGGCTTGTATATATTGATTTGATCCTGGATACCATTCTGCCTAATTTGAATTTACCTCTGAATAGCTTAGTTTATGCAATTAATGATTTAGTCTGCTTAAGCAGTTAATGTTGTTTAGGCTTTTGCTTCCTGAGAATGTGTGCACTTTCTTGTTACCTGTTTTTTTCCCCATCTTCTCCTCTATCAGTTTTGCTTTGCTCTCAAAGATCCCTGTTCATCCTCTAAGGAGGGCTGCATTCCACAAACATTATTTCAAATGTAGCTTAAACATTTCTCCTCAGGGGGAAAACATTTAGGACCGATGGTATTTTGTTTAACATCTCTTTTGAAAGAAATATAAAGAAAATGAGGTTTTTTTGGACAGCATTGTTCCTCTCCCCAGCTGTATTTGAATAAGCAGATGGTGCTTTTAAATAATTTTCACTGTGTTTTGTTTTTCTGTTTGTTGACCCACATGAGCATATTTCTTGTGAAAGGACTCATCTTGCACATTAAAACTTCCCTGTTTTCAGTAGAAATTGTGGGTACACGGAGGATTCCTTGAGCTCACAGTCACCACAAGAACTTTTTTCCAGTATATTTTCATAACCAGTGAGTAGCCAAGAAGGTTAAAATGATACATTATTCCTAACTGTCAAACATAACTAATAAACTAAATTTATTGCCAATTTGATGTATAGCATTCGTTGTCCTTTGTTCTTTGGGGACCAGAATGAAGAACTGTGCAGAACTTGTTTTGTGCAAGTAGATTGGTCTCACTGGGATTTCCATGTTGCTGCATACCCAGCACCAGAACCATGCAGATTTTGAGCAGCACAGGAGACACTGAAAGAACATCATACCTGCTGATTACACACAACTTTAGAGAAGCTCATGGTGCTGGTACCAGCCATGGGACTCTTTTTTAAGAGACTGAATTTGCCCTTTTAGCAGAAAAACTTTCTTCATTGCTGAAGAAATAAGGAAATAAATTCTCTTCTCGTCTTGTGTCCTGAAAAACAGATATTAAATTGTGCCTATAATAGACAGTTTCGTAATGTTCCAATGACTCTTTCCCACTTGTGTGTTTTCCACGTCTCCAAAATCTCTTCAGAGGTTTGGGTTAATGGGACATTGTTCTCTGTCAGGGACATCCCTCTAGGCACTTTGCAGTTCACAGTTTCCACCTAGGCAGATAACAGCCAAGTCAAAAGTTCACCTGGCTGTTCATTTTATTTAAATGTGCTCCTTTTGCTATTGCGTGCAGATTAAAACCAGAGACGTCTGCAAGGGAAATGTCTCGCCAAAACCTTACATTTTGGATAAAGATCTTTATTGCTTGGAAATGTCAAAATCTGGTAGGACACAGCAGCCTTGACACAAAGTGTTATTTCTTAAAATATTGCTTTGAACTGTTATATAAAACCTATTTTAACTTGAACTGTATTGGCAGTGAATAATAGATGCCATAACAACTTTATATATAGCACTGTAAAATGTGCCATCAGAAATACATGAGCTCAACTGTAATGTGCATTGTCAGTGCTCAGTGCTGGCACAAGCTCTGTCAAAGCAAATATATATGTATATAGAATATATATAATTTACCATCCCATGCCTTTCATTTGCACCTGTGGTCATCTGAAAAATGGGAGGAGATAAAAGTTTGAGAAGAAATGGATAAGCACAGAATGGGAAACTTCACAGAATTTCAGCTGGTGACTAGAAAGACCGATTAAAAAAAAAAAAAAATTCTAAATGTTGTACTGATTCAGAAAGCTTCCCATGATTCTCCCCATGCAGACAGCTTCCCCAGGGGTGATGAGAAAGGAAAATGAGGGAAAACTCCCCCAAAATGGTCCACCAACCCTTTTCCTCTCTCATAGCAGTTTCCCATTTCCATGCTCTTCTTCCATAGAGTGGGCATTCTCCTACCTTGGAGAGTGGGAGGTGTCCCTTCCCATGGCACAGGAGTTGGAAGAAGATGATCTTTAAGGTCCCTTCCAATGCAAACTCCTCTGTGATTCCATAATATCCTGAAGAAAGCAAATCACACCCCAGGAACTGCATTTTAGTTGATACATCCCTTGGCAAAAAAAGGAGAGATGGATAGGTTGTGGCAACAGGTGTGAGGAAAATGCTTTTATTTTTAGGAGAGGTTGTTCCCTCTGGGTCGTTGTTGAGAAATGTTGATGTTTGTTCCCTATCTGTTTTGAAGAGAAGTGATAGATGCCAGCCTCCACGCCTGTCACTCAAGCCTTTGTAGGCAGACAGAAAATGAAACACAATAAAAATAAAACAAAAGAATGCTCCACATAGTCTGGCAGAGCATGTTTGTTAGTTCAAACATGTTCCTTGTTCCCTCATTACCACGTATCCTTTCTTGCTGAGGGGTGTTTTCGGTAAAATCTCTCACTGATGGTTTGCAGTTTAGAGGGTTTAGTGCAAGCTATTTTATACCTTTCATCAGCTTCAATAGTCCAGGGCTTTGACTTATGAGGGCTCTGCCTGTCTCTTCACAGAGGCTTTTTGACTCAGAGTAATGTATAAATAACACAAGATCATGACAAGCACCATCCGTGAACGATCTGGCGCCTGTGAGTGTCAAACTCTCCTCATGACAGCTTTGGGGACCCTAATTATCCTGAGCTGCAGAGCTGCCTGCCAGGTTGACATGGCCATCCCTGGGACTGGTATTGAGTTGTTCCCTAAAGAACCAGCTCCAGAATGCTGTCCAGTCTAATTTAAAATGACCCGAGCTGCAGGACTGCTACCATTTATTTCGGGAGACTATTTCACGGTCCAGCAGGCTTCGGTGTTGATGAAATGCTTCCCTCTGTTCTTGTTAAAGATCCCTTTCTCATTCTCGGCTTTTTACACCTAGTGAAACTCTGCTGGACCCTGCAAATAATTCTTCTTCCCCTTTGGCTTTTAAACTCTTCAAATGCTAGCAGTTATCCTCCTCTTCACACGTTGGTCTCCCTGGCTTTTCAGTCACTTCAGTGCTCTCTTCTCAATTATTTCCCATTTGTTAGTTCTCTGCTCCTGCAGCAGCAGACTGTATATAGGATTTTGGTGTTGTACCAGAGCTGAACAGAAGAAATGTGTAAAAAGCCCCGTGGATCCAATTCAGAGATTACAAGTCCTAATGGAAAATTTCGAGATCATTTGTGCATTATTAAATTAAACTCACAAAAGACACTAGAAGTGCTCATTGCACTTTTTAGTTGTTAATCATATCCTGACACACTTTTGACCCAGATTAGCCAGTGCTTACCCAGCTGTTGACACAGTTTGAGAGGCAATGTATTCTA